GTGTCTTCCCCCCGCGTTCAGGCCCGTGGGGAGGGACAAGGGACCGTGGGAGCTGCACCGCAGCTGCCACCACATCCGGCCCCCACGCTGGCCAGGCTGATGTCGCCTTCCCAAAATAACAGGGGGAGCGCAGGGGGACGCAAGCAGAAGCTGCTGCCCAGGGGAAGTCGTTCCCAGGAGGGACATCCCCCACACTTCTGCAGTTTCCCCGGCCCGGATGGTGACAGCCCCGTGCAGGCAGGGGACAGCAGTGGGGGCCCGTCACCTGGGTGGGGAGGCCAAGCAGACCTAAGGAGTGTGGGGAGCTGTGCCCACCCTGTCCCATGCCAGCAGGGCGCAAGCAGGGCCAGGCACCCTGTGGGTGACAGGAGCACGACCACCACCTCCATGGCCGAAGTGGGGGTCCTCAGCCCCCGCTACCCATCCAGCAGCTTGAGGATGCTCTCCCGCTCCTTCAGGGTCTTCCAGGCCTGGTCCTTCTCCTTCTTGGTGGGCGTGCGCTTCTTCTGCCGGGCAGCCATGATCTTGCGGAAGGCGTCCATCACCTCGTTGTCGGCCATGCGGACGCGCTGCCGCAGCTCCTGCCGGTGCCGCGGGGGAGCACACGGGGGTGTCAGTCCCCACCGGGCACCCCCCTGCCCGTACTCTTGCCCGTCCCTGTCCGCACTCACCGCAGCAGCTCATGCTTCTTGGCACGGTTGTGGGCGCTGAGGGCCTTCAGCTCTGCCTGCCTCTTGCGCAGCTCGGCCAGCACCTCGTCCTCCGAGTCCTCGGCCGGCCGGTCCTCCGACTCCAGCAAACCCTGTGCCACCAGCTCCTCCTTGATCCGCCCCTCCAGCGACTTGGTGTGGGGAACGCTGCCGGGGGGAAGGAGAGTGGCTGCTGCTCACCATGCGCCTTTTGTGACCCCCCAGCTCACCGGGGTGGCAAAGCCATCGGTGGTTTGGTGTCCCTGGGGCCACCTCGGCCGCTCACCTGAAGGGCTTGTTCTGGCTGCGGGGAGATGTGCCAGCACCATCAGCTCCTGAGTCCTTGCCGGCGATCTCGGGGATGGGGGAGTCCTCGACGGGGGAGATGATGTTCTCCTGGCAACCGGAGCGTGAGGAAACGGTCACTGTGCTGGGCCACGGTGGCACGGCCCCACCGAGCCAGGCCACAGCCCCCCCAGAGCCCCCTCACCTCCACAAGCGCCTGCAGGAGACGCTGCGTCAGGGGTCCAAAGGGACACCCGTCCTCTGGCTGCTCGTGCTGTGCCTCCGACTTCTTCAGCAGGGCATCAACGTCTGCAGGATACAGAAGGGGGAAACAAACACCCCAAATAAGCAGAGGTGAGCAGCGGGGCTGGGCAACCTCAACCTGACAGGCATGGGGCAAGGGGCTGGACTCTGCTGGGTGCAGGTGCCCGCAGCCCTTGCAGGCAGGGGAGGGGAGACAGGGCCACCTTTGGTGTCCAGCTCGGTCAGCGGCCCCAGGACACCTTTCTTCTTGTCGGCAGCAGCTGCTGCCCGGGCTCCGTCCTTCTGCTCCTCCAGTAGATCCTCTTGGGCCCAGCGCTGGGAGTAATGCTTCCCCAGGGGGGGGATCTGCCAGAGCAGGGATCAGCACAGCTCCAGAGCCCCCTGCCCAGCGCCACCGCAGTGTCCCCAAGCAGGGACGCTCACTGCGAGGTGTGGGAGGGGATGGAGCAGCCAAGGGCTGGGAAGGAACAGGGAGAGGGGGTAGGGGATGGGGCAAGGGGAACATGGGGTGGGCTCGGGAGTTTTTCACCTTATAATGCTCAGCCTCATCCTCCGGCGGCTTGAGCAGCTCCTCCAGGACTCTGACCTCCTCATTGGTG